TTATAAAACATGATTGTACGTTTTTGTATGAATAGTTTAATGAATCAGTGATATTATTGAAGAACTTGTTACCATTTCAAGACCACCTCGTGATGTGACCTCGTAGAAAAGCCGGTGAAGATCGAGTTTGTCTCCACCCACAATAGGAATCCTTTTACAAAATTTAAGGAAAACTATTATAAATATTCCAAGAAATGAATTCTTATTGAAGAGAGCAAATCATCTTAAGCAAAAACAATGAACATATATTTATCAAAAGAGGATAAAAGCAGTTTTCATTTCTCAACATTTAGCCTTTAAAACAAGTTATTTGCCATTAACAGTGAAAAAAGACACACTCTTAAAACTCTTCAAGGCCTAGCAATTATAAATCTTGTGAAAACCAAATCATATACTGATTTCGGACACTTTATCAAAAAGCAAACTAGGTCCAATTCAATAAACTACATACAGTTGCTAAACTTCTATCACTTCAAATGAATTTCATCTATAAAATCTATTAAAACATATGAGTTATGCGTTTTTCAAATTAGGTTTTGGGCCAAGGCCCATATAGAATTTTTTTAAGAGGACATCCCTTTCTAGGTTTTCCTTTAAAAAAACCGCCGCCCTCTGAACATTGCTCAAACCTAGGAACATAGTCCTTTTCCTTTTCCTTTTCCTTTTTAACATAGTCCACGCTTTAATTAACTTTTTAATTTACAGCTTTTAGCATAAAGTAAAATTAATTGTATTGGTTTTTGAAAAAAAAATGTAGTCAGTGGATAAGATTTATAGATATTAAAATCTGAAGTAAAGTGAATGATTTTTTGCTTTAATATTTTGTTAATATAAATTGACCGTTATCTATTTTTCGTTATATAGTATTTGATTTTTTGTGGAAAAATTAATTGCAATGAACAAATTGCAACTGATTTTAGAAAACAATGGGAATATGAAAAAAAAAGTCAATTATTTTTCTATAAATAATCTTTTTTTTGGTCAAACATTTTTTTGTAACTGTAATAAATTAAAATATTTACATTATAGATGATTAATTTAAGGGAGATTCTCAAAAACACCATGATTTAAAGTTTTTGGGCCACAAATACCATCAGGCCCAAAAAATTCCAACCATACCATATTTCATTCGATGACCAAACTACCCCTCTGATTTCTATCACCCATCGACCAAAAAATCTGAAAACCTAAAATCAACTCTTTTTCCTCTCGATCGCCGACGATCGACGACGATCGCCGACGAACGTATCCTCTCCCTCGCCGTCTCCGGCGCCGTCACCATTGCTGTTGCCGTTGCCGTTGCCGAAGCCGTCGTCACCGCCCGAAGCCTTCCTGAATCAGACGATTCAATCTTCTTCACCGCCTCGCCGAGAATTCGCCTACTCGCCGAGAATTTGTCTACTCGCCGAGAAATCGCCTACTCGCCGAGACTTCGCCTCCTAGCCGAGACTTCGCCTCGTATTCCTGAATCTTCTTCTTCCTAAATCTTCTTTTATAGTTTGATTTTTGCTAATAGTTTCGTGGTATATTTGCAATTGATTTAAGTGTTGGATACAATCAAGTTTAATAGATTCGTGTTAAATCTAATTAAGTTTAGTGTTAGATCGAGTTTGTGATATAAGTTGATTGAACACATGGTAAACCTCTATTCTGAGTTTTGGTGCATGTTCACTATATGTTGTTTGTTACATTATAGATCTAAGGCTATGGTTATGTTTTTGTGAATAGCATCATAGTAGAAATGCTAGAGTTTTGTGGTAAAAATGCTAAAGTTTTGTTTTTAAGAATGTCAGCCCGATAGATTTTTGAATGTGTCTAAGTGAATGTCTCTATGAATGTGTCAATGATTTATTGGATTAGTTGTGGTGAGATGTGAATTGTTTTGTATTTTAAAGCTTGTTCGTTTTTATGAATGGTAGCATGAGTGTAGAATCAAAACAAGTCATGTTGATTTAGCTTTGAATTGTTTCAAATAGCTTTGAATTATTTAAAGTAGAGTCGTGGCCAGTCTTTAGGAAGTTGTTTCTATGTGTAAGATATGACAATGCTAGAGTTTGATTTGATAAGTAATGAGAATACTCGAATTTTTGAGTTTGAGTTCATTTTGAGTATGGTTTTGTGACAATTTCAGTTTAGCTTTGATGCTATAATTTATGGTCGTTTTCATGTACATTTTGTGCAATAAAATACTAAAGTTTGTGTTAAGTAATAAGAATGCTAGAGTTTGATTTGTGATAGACAATGCTAGTGTTTGAATTGATAAGTAATGAGAATGCTAGAGTTTTGGTGAATAGCAGCCTGAGAATACTAAAGTTTGATTTGTTATAGACAAGGCTAGAGTTTGCTTTGTGCTAGTTTAGACTGAGAATTGACAGCTTATACTTACATAAATTTGTGATTGTTTGATTTGTGATGTTACAGTTTGTTTTGTGAAT